ACACCAGGGGCAAGTTAGACCATTTTTAGGCCAAAAAAGCTGGTGGCCTAGAAAACTCAAATTGCAACAGTTCGGCTACCATGTCACGATGGTCTAGAAAACATAGCAGAGGAATATCAGGTCATTTCTAGGTCATTTCTACATGGTGGCCTAGAAAACTCAACTCGCAAAAGTTAGGCCATGTTGTGGCAAAAAAAGATGTTGGCCTAGGAAACCCCACTAGGAAAAGTTCGGCCACCGCTTCAAAATGACCTGGAAAAAACGCCAGGTTCATGTTAGGGCAGTTTTAGGCCATTTCTACATGGTGGCCTAGAAAACCCAACTGGCAAGTTAGGCCATCGACACAGCACACTAACCATAAAACGTTCTCAACATTTCGCGATCCTCTCTCCTCTCTCCGTTCCTCAATTTCTTTCCCATATCGATTGCTCTCTGCATAGGAATATCCAACAGCTCCGAAATGTGCTCATAACCGTAACCTTTATCCAGAAGTTTCTGAATTTTTCGCAGGGTTATCTCATCGTGAGCCGCATATGTATAGTAGCGATCGTAGATTTGTTCGGCGTAATCTGGAGCGTTCCAATCGAAGGTTTTCAAAAAATGGTCACTCATCATTTTGATAGCACGGGTTTTGATACAGAATCCTGATCGATGAGGGAGTCCGTGGCCTGGGAAATATTCAAAAGTCATTTTTCTGAAATTTGAGACACAGTTTTCTGAGAGAATTGAGATCAACAGCCGATGGCAATGGAAAAAATCAAAATGGTCGTAGTCTGATATTGTATGTGGTGGGTATAGGGGCTGTTCTAAGACTTATGACCATAATACCCATAGGCCACGCCCCCTTCTGGGTGCGAAATAATATACCGTACCCCCGAAAGATTATTTTGTTCAAAATAATAATATCGACTCAAATGTTTCAGATTTCAGTTTCTGCCACTATTATGACCATTTTTTGTAATGGAACCAATTTTCTACAGTAAGCGTGAATTAGAGAAAATTTCTTTTTTTTTCACTTTTTCG